TCTACAGCGATATAAGCGGACAATTCCGTTATCGGCCAATTTGTGTGTTTCGATATACCAGCAAAATGTATTACACAGTCTGCGCACCTATTTTCGGCCGATTTTCCACACAAGTTTGGTCAATTTTTGAAAGTTTTTTATGCATCTCCCGTGCAAAATATAGGCCTAGGAGTATCCCCGAAACCTTGAAATACCGGGATGGTGTCCGGCGGGGTGTAGTTTTTACCCTTAAATTAATGTTTTTGCTGTAATGATTAAATATCATTAAGTGATGCAGCATAATAAATGTGTACTGTTTATTTATTGTAGTATTTTCAATAAGTTTCTGTTTATAAAGTGTGTTGACGGTGATGATGTAACTGCAGTACATGCGCCGCAGCGCGTCGTGGCGCGCGACAATCCTTGGAATGACCATCACGACAAAATCTCCAGGAATTTCACTTCCACAACTTGGGACCCCTGTAATTGTTGACTAAAAAAAAATACATTTCTACAAACCACCCAATTGCATAATTAAGAGAATTTATGATGTTTTGCATTTGGAATACTAAAATGTTTATGCTTAGCAAGGCTACACCCAGTTTCTAACTTATAATACACAAAAGAATAAAACAGTAGTTCTTGCCATCCTAAACCTATTGTAGAGCAACATCAAGACAAACCATTGTTGGGTAGCTTTTTACAGGGGTGGCTTTTTTCCTACATTCGTTTCTATCAGAAGATTTAAGGTAATGGCAGCAGTGAAGGGACTAGAATTACTATTAAGATAAAAAAATTCAGTGATTCAGTCTTTAATTTAATATTTCAGTTTGTAAAACAACCCATAAGACCTTTCCTCATTTGTATATTATTATGCAGATAATAAAAATTTAAAATATAAAATGTAAACAAAATATACATACAAAATATTAGAAGGAAAAGTCCTAGCATGGTTCTAATAAGACTTGAGATTTGGTCTCTAGGAGATTGCTATTTATAAGGCATCATTAAAAACAAACATTAAAATGGTCAAAAACCACATTATTATGGGAATGATTAATAATTACATTATTTATTTAGTATGGAGATACAAATTATCTACATCCCATAAAATAAACTTGATGGCACATTACATTTGCTGGTTAATAAGATTTATTTTTTGAGGATTTTTTGAAACAACACAACACATTCATATAACATCATATTGCTGGATTACAAACAAAAAAAAACCTGATCAAAGACAAAATTCCCCCACAAATCCAACTCTAAAAATCCTGCAATTAGTCTAGAAATCAAGCAGAATGTACCCTGTCTTATTAAAAAAAAATAAGACAGGGAGAGGAAAGAGTAGTCATAAGGCATGCTACTGTTTCTATACGTACATGAAGTTATTGGAAATTGTCATGGAAACTATTTGTTGTTTACGAAATACACCTAACAAGACAAGCATTTGACTGGAGATCATTGAAAAAGTCTAGTAAGCTAGAAAAGGTAGATTGATTTCCATAGAACACTAGCAGGTATTGTAGACAACAACAATACACCTATCGACTTGTGTCAACTTCTGTTAATATTCACAGACATAAAAAAAGTCAATATCAAACAAATGTACATGTATATAGTTTGCCAATAATTTACAGAACCCCAAGAAGTGAAAATCAATTACTAATTAAAATATAATTAATTAAAGACACTTTCTCTTCAAGAGGCTAAACTCTGAATTTAAGCATTAGAAATGATATTTAACAGCAATCTGACCTCATTAAAATTATTGCCAGAAAAAAAAAATCTGTGTGAGAAATTAGCATTTAAATGCCAAGTTAATATGCATGATGGTAAGTGAACAATAGTTGAGCAAACATTTAAGAAACGTTGAATTTTAATTGAATTGAATTCAATTATTTTTCTTGTTGATATGATAAAGCCTAATCTTAAATTAGAAATATTTCTTGTTTTTTAATCAATGTTAATACTGTTCTGACATTTCTGGAAGATTTTTTACAAGTAGCAGGTAACGAGAAGATCTCCATATTGTAATATCTGATGAATACTGTGGCCAGCTTGTTTGGAGACAATCCATATGCTATGTTCTACGACATCAGCATTAAATGGTCTTCTTATTGTCCATCATCTTTCAAACAAAAACTATAGGTCAATTGCATAAAATTTGCTAGCAAAGGTAGGTGTAAAATCAACAGTAGTATCTACCTTTGGAAATTGGATACAAAATTAGATGATTTGTAATACTGAGATAAAAATATTATCACAAACATATATGATCATATATGAACTTAATAATAATTACAATTCATGGCACACTGTATTTTCTTTTAAAACATCATTCTTATCCATGCACAATTATGTATGGACAGATCGAGCAAAACTCAGAAATTATGCTCTCTGTGTAATACAATCAAAATATTTATTATGTTGGCCTAAAAATGCTATATCGAATTAAAAAATTAGTTATCTTGGCCTCTTTAAATGTGAAAATACCACACTATGAGTTTAATTGAGCCTTTCTGAATGACTACTTTTACTTTAATTGGAATGAGCAATGTAAACTGGTCTAGGCTAGCCGAACGTGGGGATCAATGTCCTTGAATACGATTTATCTTAGAACAACATGAAGCGTTGAGCTTGGATTTATGACTAGACCTAAGCCTATCTTTCATAAGTGTCAAATTGTTGATGCATGTGGCGCAGTGTGTGAGGCGTTGGACTTCCAATCAGAAGGTAGGGGGTTCGAGAGACACGCTGCTATGTCCTTTGGCAAGACACTTTATCTGCATTTGCCTCTCTTCACCCAGGAGTATAAATAGGTACCTGGTAAGAGGAGGTGAATGATTGGGACTGAAATTAGTAGTGCTAATTACACGCATAACTAAGAATACTCCCAAGGGAAGCAGAGGAGGCTGTGTATGATTGATTCTGTATCCAACGACCAGGTTAAAAAAGAGCACCCGGAGCAGTTTTCTGGATATGTGCGCTATATAAATCCAATAAAATAAACAAAAAGTAAATATGGTATACCGTTCGCAAATTCTGGCAAACCAGGAATATATAATACACAAGTATTAGAGAACAGCCTAGAAACTAGCCTATCGAGTTGTAAACAAGGATGGGAGAGCCTTTGATGTTGCATGCACTCATTTGTTTCAAATTTGGCCTCCTAATTTAATGATTTATGTATTTATTATAAAATGAGATAAAAAAATATTTAATACAATTATTAAGTTAAACAGTAATTTTATAAAAACCTAATACAATATACAACAAATTAGAAAAATTAAACAAGTAAATTTAAAATTTTAGAATGTTTTTATTTATATTTCTCAATCTTTAATATGAGCTAGTTTTTGGGCGAAAATTTTTAAATTATAGAAAGCCCTAAAAAATTAGACACAATTAAAACAATTTTTTTCTGTTAGATTGCCAATTTATTTTGTGTCTTCAATAAGAAATAATTAAAATATATAAACTGAAGAAAAAAAAAATTTGCTAATATATCCTTTTTGACTTTTGAGCAACTAGTAAATCTGAAAACTAATTAAAATGAAGATGATGAAAATATGAGCTAGTATTTGGGCAAAACATTTTAAATTATTGAAAAAAACTTTCAAAAACTAGACACGATTAAAACAATATTTTTATGGATGATTGCAGACTTTTTGCTTTCAATATGAAATAAATATATAAATTAAAGATAAGTAAAATGTTTTAATATATCCTTTTGATTTTTGAGCAACTAGCAAATAAGAATAAAACTAATTAGAATGAAGGAAGGAATGTTTAAAGCAATTATAAATAATATAAGAAATTAGAATGAGGATGATGAAAATGTATTGACAAACTAGTGCAGTCACTCCATAGGGTGCATACCTTCATCCTGCGCCTGAATACTGAACAATACGCAGGCTGTATAAAATGAGCGATTCAAATATTTTCAGCCACATGCCTGAATACCGAACAATACGCTCAATGGTTAGAAAAATCCCCCAAAGTCCATGACCTTGACCTTTGAATTTTTCTTCCCAAAATTTAATCATCTTTTTCTTATATTATGTACTATTTTATAATGATCCATTCCTTAGTTTTTGTATAATCTTGCTAGACAGACAGACAGTGGTGAATACATAACTTTCTTTGGTGGAGGCACAGATCCTATATGGTGCAGGTAACTAGAAACTATATAAACAATACAAAATGATGTACAAACAATTATGTTCTGAAATATGATAATCATATGCTAATGAGACATAAATAAATATTTGTATTTTATGCAAATTGACAAAAGGAGATTGATAATGATAGAATTATTGAATCTTAAATCAAGAATCAAGAATACTTTATTGTCATCGATCACACAAGTGAATATAGTGCAGGTGCATAAATTTGATGTGCATGAAAGTATGGTATATGTTCATATAGACACATTAAATGTTGCATGTGTATATTGACATATTCAAATGTATTTTGTACCTATGTTGCATGATTTATGAGCAGAAATACGGTAGAAACTTTTCGGGGCTTCCGATTTAAGATGAGTGACTGCACTCTCACATCATCGCACACCTGAACTCCCCTTCAGGAGTGTGAAAATGAACACCTTGGGTTTACAAATCACACACCTAAAATCTAGTAATGAAAACCCCACTTATACTATGGCTATGTTTTCTGGTAGGATAATTTTTTTTACGTTGCTTTGAACAAAAAAAAACAAACCACAGTGATGACTGTAGTTAGTAATGTGTACACTATTCCACAGACGCTAAAATTCCCCTCTATCAAATAATCACTCACCTAAAGGTGTGCTTTTCATAGCTCATCTACCATTTCCAAATAACAAGCACTAAATTTTGGGTATTCGTAGAGGGACTAGGTCTAAGCTACTTTCCTATTAATATGTGCATACATGCTTTAACATTGCATTTTAAGTATTTGAAGAGTGATTGACCCTGAGCTTCCATGGTGTGCTGACATGCTTGCATTTACTGTAGGAACTGATTGGCTTCTCTTACCTCTCAATGAGCTCACAGTGTTGATAAGTGCATTAGATAGGTATTCAATAACTGGGAAAACATTGGAAACAAAACAAAAATAAACAGTACTAGATACATGTTTGGAGAGGTGGCATCCATCTTTTTGTTATAAAAAACATTATTAATATGCATTTGGACAAAATGTTCTGGTTAAACCTGTGTCAATGCTAAATGCAATTCACAAGTCCTATCCATTAGTAAGAAGTGGATTTGATACTTCTGTTTGTTTACATGTAAAAAATTATTAGGTGTTACACAAAAAAGGACATGGATAAAAAAATGTTATTATATGCTAATATATATAATGCAATATAATATTTCTTTGGAATTATTTTAAATTATTATTAAATAAACATATCTCAGGCATGCTCGATCAACTGCTGTGTACAAAAACTAATCACATTAGAGGGCGCATTTTATTTATTGCTCCCGATCCTATAGCCGATGTAAACAGTTCAGTAAAACAGATTAATTAATTTTTTCAAATTAATTAATTGTGGGATGAACTAAAATATCTTATCATGAAAGTTCATAGCATTCGTGGGAGAGAAAAAATAAATAAAAAGATAAGAATGCGACGGGTTCGCGAAAACAATTACCCTGTCTACCTCTGACGCTCATCTGAATAAAGTATACACAGAAGCAAGTGCATTTCAGCTGATGCGATCTACAAGCACTGAATTTGCCTAGTAACGAAGAAAATGGTAATCTCCTATGAGAAATAATCTGATCTGAAAATCTGAAATAATTTCTCATTTTTTATTCTTTTGCGTAAAACTAAAATTTATGCCAATATTTTTCCATGGTTTATAATAATTAGAGTAATGCATATATGTATTTTTTCTAAACAAATTCTTTTTTAGTGAAAGTTTGCCAGGAATGGGGCTTTAATGTAATTTGTCACCATCATTCACCACGGCGAAACTTTGGCCTAAAGTTTTCAGCACGATAATCGACAACGTATACAATCTAGCCTTGGGAAATTAAACTGCAACTTACTGTCGTCATTCTGCACTGTATACAGTATACAGTACGTACACCGTGCTGTATTTTAATACTACATAAGTAGTGCGGCAAATCAATTGCCTGTATAACAAAACGACCCATGTGGTGCATTCTCAATATTACACATTATTTAAATTTATTTTACGTATTAGACGCCAACACAAAATCATTTATTAAATTATTATCAATGATATTGACATGTCGACAAGGATGTGAAGCCCCGCCCACAAAGTCACGAAAACCTTAGACAATGGCGGCTAGACTTACTGAGTTGGCGAACATTTTCTTTGCTATCAACCTTCTCTAAGAAAGAGAATTTAGGGCAGGCGGTATGCAAATGAATCATATATTCATAGTGTTAATCTATTTCATGGAACAGGCAGGGAAATTGTTGTAAAAGCCTCTGTATTTCGCTCCCAAAGGAAGAGGGAAAAGCTGCATTCAGTCAACCTTGTTGTCGGCAAAGGCCAAGTCACTGATGCCCACTGCTCATGTAAATCTGGGTATCTATAACCAAGCATAGACATCTAGGCTTAGGCTCACGTATGTTTCGCGTTGACAACCAGCTGTCTAAGGAAATTCACGTGACTAAATGACGTTTGCTGATTAGTCGGTTTATCTGTCAATCAAATCTTCTTGAGATGTTAATTACGCTCATCCTACCTTTATAGGCCGTGTATCAAATTTAGGGGAAAACCCAAGCAAGGAAGTTATGTGCCCAGCGGTCAGCTGCCTTTAGGTCTACTCTCGCCAGTTTGTGCCCAAAAGGTACACTACCAGCTATCTGGCTATTGTGAGTACAGTACCTTCATTTAGTTGTCATATAGCCACTGCCCTGCACTGACCACGTTAAAATAACAAACAACAAATAACTTGCATGCAATCATGTTTGCAGCCAGACTACTAATACAACAATTCAAATGTCGCATGGCAATTGAGTGGGCAAAAATTGGAGCTCAAACGAAAAAATATGATGTATTTTATCAAGTATTTGAAAATAATTTTAAGCCTTTGCCATTGCAGTTGGCTTTTTTTCGCCAATCCAAAATAGTTTTCGCCTAGGGCGACTTGGTGACCGGTTAGTTGAGTCCAAATTGTAATACAAACAAAAAAAAGAAATGGTCAAATGACACCAATTAAACATGACCATTAAACATACTCAAGTTAACAGAAGCCCTGCAGGAATAATGTAGAAACATTACATAACTAATATTCTTAACCATTGCAAATCATGAGCCATCAGTGTTATGCTAGATGTATTGGAATAATGATAAATTGCATGACTGATGGTAAGTAGTAATACTTTAATGGAGGAAAATTATGTGTGACTAGTAGGTTGGGTAGAGAAAAGTTCTGAAATCAAGAAACACCTTTACAGTTAAGATTTTATTATAAATTTCTCATTTATAGTGGCTGCTGAGGGGAGGGTGTTTATGGTCACTCAGCAGCCAGAAAAACCAATAGCCGGACAAAGGGTGGATGAGTTCCTCGGAGTCAACGGCCAACCGTTAATTAGTTTAAGAAATAGGAGTAGTTTAGCCTCATTGTTGTTATGATTATTATTTTTATTTTAAACTTTATTATTTTATTGTTACTTGTATTTTCTTGGTTGGCATATATTATTTCTGTGTAAAGCGCATAGGGGCAATGTGCAATATGTGCTATATAAATACATAATAATAATAATAATAATAATAATAATAATAATAATAATAATAATAATAATAATAATAATAAATGTTTAGAAAGCTAAACTCATTTACCACATGTTCCATGAAAATCTATTGCCCTTTTAATCAATTTTTGAAAAATCAACTAAACCAATTATTTGATTATTATTTTTAAATACTTGAATGAAGCATTTTCTATGAATAAAATTTTCTCAAATTTTATGTGCCAGTTAAGTAAGAATGTTAAACTTGGCTAGAGAACATACGTTCAACCTATATTTGGAATCATCATAACTAAAAATAAGTAAGCTATTATTGAGGAAATTGTCATATGCACATACAGTATGCCAGTGAACTGAAAATCATTACATCATGCAAGAGTTGCAGTATCAGCAAAGAGTTTACAGTAGGTATTTTCATCAATTAACATTGATGATGCGCTGGCCATGCTTCAAAAAGCATCACCATAAGGGATTGTGTGTTTATAAAGTTATGTTTATTAAATCGGTTGGATGCGTAGGAAATATGCATGCGATTGCTATGTTTTATCATCATCATCATCAACAACATACTGTATTGATCGAAAGTTGTGATAATCTGTTCTAAAATACTATATGAATTCCAAATATTATGATGATTCATATTTTCTTGAAAAATAAAAATTACAGGAAAATGGGCATATCTTTGTATTACATTTTATAACCCTCACCTCCCTATTCATACAAGAATATTTCCTTGACATATCATGAATTGTAACACATTTTTTTTCTCCAAAAATAATCAAAAAGTCATTGAAGAAATTTTTAAATAAGACAATAAGTACATACCTGGCGTTGGCGGCGTAGATCCACGTGAGTTGTTTGAGGATTTGGAGGTTGGTAAGCCCATCACATCACCAAGGTTTGAACTTGAACTAAGACCACTGGTAGACCTGCTGTGTCGGGGGGAAGTTGGGTAACTACTTTTACTATTCAAAGGTAGGGTTGCTGCTTTGTTATTATTTAGGAATGAAGAACTTTTACCACTCTGTTCTAATGATGTCCTTGTTGAACTGCTACTCAACAGCAGTGAAGAATTATAGAAGTTAGTGAGTTGTAACATTGCACAGTATTTGTTAGTATTTCAAAAGCAATACAACCAAAATCGATAAGAAATCGGTCAAAAAAATGAACATTTTGAATATCAAGAATAATTAGAGAATATAGAATTTTAAGGATGAAACAATTATTGTTGGTAGATAATTCAGAATATATGCAAAAAATATTAAAAGATTAGAAGGTTAATGAAATGCAACAAGCAAAGAACAGAATATAGAAGAAAGAAAACCAAAACAGAATAAAAATAAAGGTACAATGAACAAAACAAAGTGGCAATTAATTAAAATTAGAACAAGACAAGGGATGGAGGGAGGTAGGAGAGAAAAGAAATGAAAAACCTATTAAGTTGGAGATAATTTTTATAAAAGTTTTTCAAAAATAATTATATTTTATTAGTAAATTAACAATGGCTTCCAATATATTCAGTTTAAAAATAAAAAAGGCTAAAAAATACCTACTTGGAAAAATTAGTAAAGGAAGTCATGCGATTTTTCCAGTTTTATGACTACAAAAAGGTATTCTATTACCATGGCAATATAACCAAAATGATTATATTTTTGTGAATTGAATGTATACAATCAGTTTATAACTATAGAAATCATGAAATATGTTCTATTTCATAGTAAATGCATTTTCCTATGATTATGAAAAGAATAGACAATCAACTCTGTTTCTACTCAATCAAAATGTAAACATTTACAAGAAATACACTGGCATATGTAATATATTATGCTAATGTATATAATATTATATACATAAACAATCACATAATAGTATGGTGTATGTAATGTATGTATGTATGTATATTAGTACAACTGGGCCATTGGATTCATTGGAAATTCAAATCTTGGATGTACTCTTCACTATTTTGCTTATTCATATATATGTATATATATCTCATAGCGCAGGCTCTCCATGCACTACAAACAGGAGACCAATATGATACTGACACCCTAATCTTAATAACAAAAAAATGGGACCTACCCAAAAAATATTTTAAAAACTGAATCATGATACAAAAAGAAAAGATAAACAGAACCATGTTGTGGTAATGCTATAATTATACTTAAATTTAAAGAACTAAGAGGAACATGCAAGTATATACCAACAATATTGCATGTACTGTTAAACACTGTATCAGATAAGGTGGGATGCAAATGATGCACAAATTTTTGAAAAATAAAGCAAACTGATCCAGCAAAACACTATACCATCATCTTCTTTTCGTCTATGTCATCAGTTAAGAATTAAGAACTTCAATACAACATCAATAATAACTAGATTTACTATGTCTGTTTGAAAAACACAACATACAGCTTTTCCTCATTGCCATAATGAGAAGTGATATTGAAATTACAAAAAAAAAATATAAAAAAATTAAAACTCATAATTTACAAATTCTAACGTAAAAAGCACATGAAAAACAAAAATTAAATCATACAGAAAAGTATGGAAAAAATTATGAGGTTAAAGAAAACAAAAACCAACTCAACAAAAAGGGAGACTCGACTGTTATTGATATTAAAAATATGTAGAATGACATCATATCTTAATATGCACATTCTTTTTATATGGTTCAAGCTCATATATATGTATATATGTATGTGTGTGTGTATGTTTTCCTCTTTGTTCATTAGTTTAAATTTGACTGTGCCACTTTCTTGTGTGCTGCCACTGTTGTTAAAGTGTAATGTCAAATAAATATTATTATTAATATTATTATTATGGAAAGTGACCAAAGTGCAGGTCAGAAAAACATAGGAAAACGGATAGAAGAAATATAAATTAGAACAAAAGCAACAGCTATTTCTGCAAGAAAAGTCAATAAAAAAAATGAGGTAAAAAAAATGGTGATGTTAGTGAGACTCGAAGTATGTCTGCAATGGTAATAGCAAGGGTGATATGGATACTCATAGCCATTGCACGTTATATGAGCTGAACCTGAATAGGTCAGTGGATTTTTAGTTCATAGTAATATATAGTAATTTAGTGATTGAGAGTGAAAAATGCAATTTTGCATTTAACCTAGTTGCAGCTGATTTAAATGCTTTAGAAAATGGAAATTGCATTCATATAGTTTAATTAAACCTGTTCAATAATTTTTTTCAAATGGTCCTCATATCCACACCCTAATCTGGATCGTCAAAAAAAAATTCAATCATTTCTTTATTGTACCATGAAGTCAAAGGAGCCATTACCAGAAAGAAAAATGGGGCGTGGTACCTAAATTTCAAAAGGTCAAAACTTAAAAAATGCTTGGAATTTGAAGCTGAAATTTTGGATTCTTTCTTTTGACATTCTGTAGCAAGGTATTTTTAGATTTTTGTAAAGGAAAATTCAAGGGGTTACTGGGCATGGTGGTTGAGTTGAGCTGGAATGACCCTATCCAATTTCATTAAAAATTTTTCCTATATTGTGAAATTGTAAATAATGTTTTATTGTTTTGTATTCCATCCTGTTAATGGTGGGCTATCCACTGTTTGGATGAGAATAAAATGAAATAAAGATTACTAAATGATCAAATGCAAGGGGGTAGGCCATGTAGGAAGAAATCAAGATAATAAGTGAACTAAATGAATAGGCAAAAGAAAGAAAGGACATCACAAGATTCTAAATTTGAATTGTACATCTTTGCACTCTCCTTTTTGAGATTATAGCAAATACGCGGTAGCCGTATCTTTAGATATGACTGCAATTTCCGCTAACTTATGGAGAAACATACTCATAAACCTATGGTAGCTCGGCTTCAGCTGTTGAAAATCTCTTCAATGTACATAGGTATGCTTAGTCTAGGTCATAAAAAACAAAGTCTATGTTATTCTCCTTTTACCAAATGAAAATGAAACAAATGGATTTAAACAAATTTATTTATGCCTTTTATGTATTGTTGGCCTACCCTAGCCCAGACAGGCCCTCACCATTAAAATTCTGCCAAAAACCAGTGCTAAATAGGCCTTAAGTAATTTCTGTTTTTGTCGTCTTCTTTTTATTGAAACATCATGAGGTCAATAGAAATCATGTTATCCTTAATATAATTTTTTAACCGGTGTAGGCTTATAAGTGCTGTAACTATCGCATAGGCTTCTGATCAAATTTGATGTGACCTTGACTGGATTTCTCATTATCTTGCATTGAAAAATAGTAATAGTCTGAACATGGATAATGAAGGTTTGTTTTGAGAGGCGCCTAGCGCATCTTTGCCATATGGACCAACAGCATGACACATCAACCATTCTAATTCTTTCTACAGGCACCATTACAATTAGATTGCAGCTACTTAATATGGTAGGTATAATTCAACGGCTAGGTTAGATCTCTCCTTGTAGTGCCTAACTTCTACTACCCTGTGTAAATATGTTTTATAAATAAATGAATAAAAAAAAAATAAATAAATAAACAAATAAAATAAAAATCATAATAAAGTACATAAATAAAAGAAACAAAAACTAAGAAGTAGTAATTTAAGTTTGATGCTGTCTGTCATACGCAAGAAGAATTGAATGTTTTGGATCTTACATTACAACAAACTCATAGAAACTATAAAAACTACCAGTAGCTGCCATCAAAGATACTGAAATTAAACAAGGCAGTCCTCCAGCAATTTTATATCTGATACAATGTTCTAAATATAAGTTAATAATGATAATATAATAATAATAATAATCTAATAATGCAATAAGTTGGTGAGAGGCCACAGACAGGTCTCTGGTTCAATGCTCACAGACCAGGAAAGTACACATTTTTTAGGTTGGGGTATATGTTTGATTTATGTTATGCTTTTAGATGTAACAATGATGAATGTACAAAAAAGTTTTTAACATAATAGTAGATTGAGTAGAAAAAAAGTTGCATCGTCTTGTATCATATATTCATAATTTGAAAAAAAAAAAAACATACATGATCCAAACCTATTATTGCACATTACTAAACTACTATATTGACCTACTTTGCCATGAGCTTGCTTCGGCTACTTGAGGGCTGAAGACGTGTACTCTCCAGCTTAGCTGGGCTTGGTATGAATCCCACATCTGCCCCTTCCTTTACAACACGCCCTATCCACCAATCATTGCTGTATTTCTGTTACGAGAGAAACAATGGTTATTTGAAATTCAATTTGGTGAAGAATACAGATAAATGTACATTGATTATAGAACAGTACAGAAATTCAGGAGACAAAAAAATTGATGTGTATGATACAACTCAAAATCCTTCCACTGAAATGTAAATGGGAAAAATTATTTGGACATTTTATGAATGATCATATTATGACAATTTGTATGTGCTGCTAACAACTCAGTTTAGATCTTGCCATTTTCCATACTCACATACATTAAACTGTCAGCAACCACATAGATCGTTTTTTTATGTGATAATACAGGCAGCTAATTTTTGACATCAGACTTCTCAAGTTCTATTGAATGTTCGTAGTTGCTACTAGAAATTTTGCCCAATTACAGTCGTATGGAAATAGACCAAAATACTATGGAAATTTAACATTAAGGCTAGACCCATAAACAAATACTATAAGTCTACACACTGTCTAAATGGCCAGAACAATGACTTTTCCAACAGGATGTTAGTTACATTAAAATTGACCTATAAATTTTCAACCTCTCCGGTTTGTTTAAAATTCTACTGTTTATTATGCTGTACCCATTATTTTGCACTCAGAAAGTGCTACGGATATTTTGTATTTACTACGAATATTTGAAGACATGGTTTACTGAAATGCATTTTACTTTTTTTTAAAATATACTGTAATGATGTTGCCTCTTCTTTAACAATCTTACATACATCTATGGTCAGATTTTTGTTAAAAATATACATGACTATTAGGATTTCATGTTTTAAATTAAACTTTGAAAGTGATATTTCTTGAATCTATTTATGAGTGAAAGGAAGACCACACCAAAAACTGCCAACCTGATTTTTTGGAAATTTTGGTAGGAAGTGGAAGGCAACACAACATATTTTTATTTTGCCTAAGCAAAGAAAGCAATAATTTTTGTTTTAAATTCAAATTTGAAAAAGTTCATGCAGAAGGTAGATCTTATTTGCTGATTTGGGTCAATGCATGTCACAATGTCATAAAAATAAGACAAATAGGTACATCATTTTCTACACCAGTTGGCAAGATTATCCACTGCCTAACATTCTTGGCTCATTGTGGTGTTCATAATTTCCTAATAAAATTGTTGATTAAACATTTTTTAATAGTTTTTGCCTAAAAAATTCAGGACTTATAATCTTACTGTTAACACTTTGCTATATGCTTGCATGTTTGTACTACAGTAAAACCCCTATAATAGTGGTTTTTGGTATGGTTTCGTAACATGATGGCATAAATTCTTTATAATTTCATTTTTCAATTGACCTATTAAGAATGAGTTGAATTATAACTAATTTATAACGATAATTTGCAACACAAAAAAAATAATTATGTATGGTATATAAAATCAATAGATATGCAATTAAAACAGTTGTATATATTCCTCATATTGTTTCTTGATTCGAGTGCAATGTTAATGACCAATACATTGAGCTTTCTATTGGATGCAGAAGATAGAATAGCATAAATAGAGTAAAAAAAACATCAGGGTGCAGGTTGTATGCTATGCTGTAGATCAGAATCCTATATGAATATACACAAAACAAGAAATCCCCATGGTTTGGTCAAAATGATTGTACAAGTAGTTCGACATATACCAGTGTCCACTCAAAAGACGTTTGTTTTCTTATCTTAGACTACAGTAAAAGTTCAGTTGTTTTGATACAATAAAAAAAAAGTGTCCCCTTAATAAATAATTTAGGTGAATTGGATTGTGACCTATAAAAAACTTGTCAAAAATTGTAATCTTTTTCAATTTTAAAAGAAATTCTTGAAAATAACAAGATGACGGAAGAGAAATATGTGTGGTGGGTAAAAGAATCAAGTCATACATAAATACATGTCCCCAAAACCAATCATTATGCCTACTATCAACTGACTACAGACTGGCTCATCAACTCATCAATGTGCTAGCCCAGAGGATATGTTTTTGTAATGCATAACAACTGAAATTAACCAATCAATTGCCTCAACTTGACAGGGGTTAGCAGGGAGAGAGGAGAAACCATTTTGATTGTCAAGAAAAATTCTCTGGAGATTTTTGTCAAGATTCTAAAATCCTAAACATCAAACCATGATTGACAATCAGTATAACAACCCATAGAGCTATTTGCATAGTATCGATCTGCTAAATTCAAATTTGTCAGCATCATTCAAGCAATACTACAATGCACTTCTGTATTCAACAAAATAAATCCATTTCGTACTGTTACTTTATACTTATATTTGAGTTGTTAGATAATAAAATCATATAAGAAATTAAAAAAACCAGACCACAACAGCAATATTTGTAATGTTACAAGTGTTTACATTCCAATTTTTTCATCAATGGGGTCTGTTTAATTCCTGCCCCCGCAGGGTTTTGCACTACCCGGGCCAAGGCCATTCTATTAGGCCTGAAAACTTAGCATCAAACATACTTGTCGGTCTAAGGCCAAA